CACAATCAATCGATTAATTGTCTTGGTAATATAATAAGTTCAATTTAGAACTGGAACTTTTTTCAATTCCAATTCTCAGTTGGAACTTTTTTTCATCGCCAACTATTTATGACATTAATCGCAACATTATTAACTGATAATGATGTCGAAAAGTATTTCAAGTTATCATGAAACTATCGATAAACTTCAAAAATTCATCTGCAGGGTGATTGGTTTGAATCTTTTTTTTTTACATCTCCAATTAAGAATAACAATTGATTCCAGTTGTTAATAACTGTTACATTCTTAGACAATTCCAATTAACTGAGTTAATGAAATGAATATAATACTACATGAATAAGATAATCAATTGAATGAATCTTAACCTGATTAAATGATCAATTGTTTCTACACTTGAATACACTTAAAGGTGATCATTTTGTTGACCATAATCGTTGAATTAATAAATTCACTGTGATTAAAGTGATTGTCAACCTTTTCCATTATCAACCAATTATAAGTAAAGATAATTGATTGTTGACTTTAGATGTTCAAGTGCTAATATCCACTCAATCCCCCAGACTTAATCAATAATCCTCATTCAATGATAATTATCAATAGGAAATCAGTTCACATTTTACTTGATTATTTACTCAGTAATTATCATGATTATCTAGTACAAGAAACTTCTAGTAAGATGTTGGATTTAATTGAACATTTACCCCGATAAATTGAATGGAATCATCAAAAGAGTTTAATTTTGTAACCAAATGTATTACATTTGAACCAATGGGTTGAAAATTCATCATGAAAAAGGACCAGAAAATCATTCATATGATTTTCCATGTAAAGGAAAATTTTTACATTGATTTTGAATAGCAAAACTATCGACTGATTAAATCTGATACTTTTCTTTGATTTTGATAATATGACAGATACATTTCATGGTTGAATTTTATTATTCCTGTTCATTCAGTTTCGATGATCGGTAAGATGATGCTCCATTTATATTCAATGTGTATAAATAAATGAAACACAATTTGAGTTTTAAGTTACTCAGGATTGAGGAAGAATCCATGTAACCATGTACATTAACCTTTTCGTTTTCGAGAGAGAGAGAGAGGGAAAAAAGAACCGTTAGTTTTTTTTTCAAGAGACTTAAAGCTGAATCAATGTCAAGATAAAGTCCATTCAATCTGAATGAATGAAAACAAATTCTGTCACAAGATATTCATTATACTGTCTATATAAAATTTACCATGTATCATGAAGATTGGATGAACCATGAAAAGAATGGAATTTTTTTCCCTTCTTATATATGATTACAAGTATTTTCTATCCTCTTTTTTTTACTAGTCCAATTCATGGTTTGAATAATTATCCTTCATTTCAATAGTAATCATATTGTGTAATACAAACTGATTGTGTTACTCAGGATACTCACGAAACTGGATTAATAGACAATGTCATGATGATGATGGTGTTTATCCATGCAAATATGAATCAGAATTGAAAGATTACAGGTTGAGAAAGAAAAGAAAATACAAGAAAAAAAGACACAAAGTCTCTTCTCAAACGATTTACCTGTTTACCTGATCATCTACCTGTTCTAGTAATCGCACAATTGAAACGGTAAAAGCTAACAAATAACTGTTATTACCTGGATATTGATCTGAGTTCTTTGAAAGAATTTTCAAAGAATCAGAAATTTGACACAATAATTATCAAGGGAAATTCGTACCCATGAAATAATAGTAGACTTTGAGTAGTGAATTTCATGGGAAATATTTCACGAATCCAATGTTCTAAGTCGATGAGTTTAGTTGTCACTTTGCTCTTCAAATTTTGATCTTTAACTTTGAACTTTAAATTCATTATTTTATCCAGTGATTAAACTTTAATTACATTAAATTAATCTTGAGATATTTTCATGGGTTTCAAGCTGATCATGTTTTGTTCACTATAATTATATTGATGATGATCTGAGATGAGATGAGATGAGCTCAAATATTAATATAATTTAGTTATCGATATTTAAATCGATGGCGAAATGCAAGTTGATTATCAATCTAATTAAATAGATTAGATTAGGATTTGGATTTTCATCTATTTGGGATTTCAAACTCTCTTTACTCAGTTCGCTCTGTTAATCTTTTTGATTGACATGAGACACGAAATCTTTTACGAGATTAGTTTCAATAATTTTTTTTCTCTTTCTCTCTCTCTCCTTCAACTTATCTTATATTCTTATTCATTTGTTCATTATATTATTAATACTTATTCTGATGATGATGGTCAGTTATCAAAAGATAAGTTAAGAAAATCCTGAAGATCACGATAAGATTGTCTAAAAAGTGAAGATCATGGAATGAAATTCTGACCATTTTTTTTCTTCTTCTTCTTCTTTACATCAGATAAACTAACGAACATTCATCATTTTTACTTTCATGGAGTTTCGACTGTATCTCGATTTCAATGTCATCATGCGATCCAATGGAACTTAGAAAGAACTCTCTCTCTCTCTCTCTCTCTCTCTCTTTATCTCTCTCTTTCTCTGTGATTGACAGCGAACAAGTCTAATGTTTACAGATTGAGTTCTCAAGGAGAAATCATGATAATCAGAATTTGTGTGCCAAAGTAAATGAAGAGCTGATCAACTTTACCATCATCTTATTCATCTTGTTATCATTTCAATGATTAACTGGATAATACATCATTCTGATCACTGATTGGAAAATCATCTCAATCGAGTGTAAATCTGAACCCTTTTCAACAATCATCACCATACTGAGAATAAAATAATAATAAGATAAACTTTTCTTGGTAAACTGATAATCGATAAAATCTAATAGTAAGTATGGAGTTTACTTGAATTCCATTAAATTTAATTAACTAATTACCTTCCAAAATTAGTAAAATTTGATTAAAATTAAACGTTTCACTAATGATTAGCAAATTGTAATTTCACCTCAAACAAAAAAAAGACACAACAACAATCAAAAAGATGCATTTACTTTCATCGTTGTTTATTCAGCTTCATTGGATAATGAACTTTTCTTCTCAATGATTATCATGGTAATCGGTTGATATGAAACTTGATTGTTTGTTTCAATGGAGCTGATTAGACAATATAATTAGTCTCTCTCTCTCTCTCTCTCTCTCTCTCTATCTCTCTGGTTGTGTCGATCAAAATTTCAAGCTGAATTCAGCTACATCATATTAATAGAATGAAAAATTCTGATTCCAGATTGATCAGCTTTATCTCCTACATCCTGTTATATATTAATACATCATTTACATGGTGACGCTTTGAGTTTGAAAGTTCAATTTAATTTTGACTTTCTCTTGATTGAGATGTTTGATTAAATCTAATAATCAAACCTTATGATCATGTTTATCATTGATTAAAATGATTCTATCATGAAAATAATTGAATAATGCCCATGAATTTAATTTATTTTCATGAGTATTCATGATAAAGATGAAATATTTTCCTTTCTCATAAAATCCCAATGAATTTCATGATAATTGAATATTATTATTACCATTTAATTGAATTTTACATTTTTGATTGTAAACTTTTAAATTGATTGGTTTGTCATTCCTTAATTGTTAGTCTCAAGGATTCACAAATTAACAATCAACGATATTAATTTAGTTTAAATACCAAATTAAACTTTGAATTTCACTTAATAATTGTACTTTTTGACGTAAATTTTTGATTAACGATTAATAAATGATTGGGTCTCGTTTGATTTACACGCAATTAACCAATTGAATGTAATAATTAACTTGATTACAATAAGAAATTACTGTTCCTATTAAAACAAAACCAACTTAAATTGTTTCAAATTATTAATCTCAATTAAATATAATGATAATTGTATTGGTTATATTATTTTTTTCATCTCTTCAAATGATCAATACATTTATCATTATTTTGATTACTTTGTAATTTATTAAATCATCAAGGATAATCATGATTGACATTGATTGTTGATATTGTTCAACTGAATGGGAAATTTACATGGGATCAACATGATAATCATCATGATGATTATACTGATTGAAATGCATTTATCAACAATATTCAACTCGATATTATTATCGTTGATTTTTTTATCTTCATCAAATTTCATGAGACTGACAATTTCAATTCCAGTTCTATCACCATGATTGCTCATAATACATTAAACATGATTGTGATTTGTTTCATTATAATAGTTGAATCATTTTGTATAATAATTTAAACAGAAAAAAAAGAGAGGATAAAGTGTCATGATGATCAGGTGGAACAGGTAAATTCTCAATTGAATCATGATGGATGATGAATTTGGAAAAGTTCAGAAGATAAAGTTTCTTGGAATCGAAAGAGATGAAAAAAAAAGAAACTGAAATAATCGAAATGCTCAGAGAGAATTCATCTGATAACAATAATATTATTGATCTTCCTGTTTACATGATTCTATTGGAACTGAACACGAATCATCATGTTTATCTCTCGTAACGAATTGCGACTCGATGATTTAATTGTTTGATTTGATTCTTTTCCCGTTGGAAGAAAAAAAAATTCAATTTATTGTAAGGAAATTGAGTGATTATCATATTCTTATTATCAAAAGGATTCTAATTGTCATCCGATATTTTTATTAACATGATAAAGTTTCAGTTTCATTTGATAATAATGATAATGGTTCAATTGATAATTTATTGATTGGTAAGTAATTGGTATTACATGTTAATCTTTATAATCTACTGGAAATTGTATCATATGTTGCACTCTATGGATATTGATTCCTAATTGTATCCAACAATCAGTTAATCACGTTAATGAAATAGTGAGTGAGAGAGAGAGAGACAAGTTATCGATGATATTGAAAAGGAAACATTGATTACCAATGAATATTAATCATTCTTTGGGGTTTATATCCTTTAGATAAACTCATTAATATTTATCGTTGCGAATCTTAATCATCATTGATTTAAGATTAACAGTAAAGAAACAAGATTCAAATGCTTACCATGATTATCTGTCAATTCTGTGGTTTCATTGTGTCTATTAAGACATGATTGACGAAGCATATCCTCTGATTCCAGGCTCATGATAATCGGAGTATCGAGTTGATATTTTTCGAGGGACGAAAGATCAATTCTTGAATAATCACTTTGGTAGCACAATTGGATTCTCGCTAATCCAGTTTAATCTTTAATCACAATTTTATCGAGATGGAGATTACACTTTGATGTTATGGTCAATACTTTCACGTTTGGAATGAAATTTTATTAAATATTATCATTTATTTTCATGGGAGGGAAAATAAAAGTTCTGGAAATTATGATTGGCAAGTGGATTCTATTAAAATTATCATGTTACACTTTCTTTTTTTTTGAATTAATTTGCGTTTCGAATTGAAAATTTCAACTGAACTTGACACTCATCTCTTTTCTTGGTTAGTTGATTGTTTGTGTTAATCAATTTACATGGTCAACTGAATCGTTCAACTTTTTACCAAATGTAAAGTTTGAATAATTAATAAAATTTGTTGATTGGTTGGTATATAAAGTTAAAGTTGATTAATTTTGAAACAATTTTGTTTACATTTGAGAGAAAAAAATTATTTTTATTTTTTTGTAATCAAACTTTATGTGTTAAGATTTTTTTTTGTTATTACTGGTCATTAGTTTTCAATTCATCATGAGAACTGAATGAAGATTCAGAGTCAGAATTTTTAGAATCTTCTGAGTAACATGCGCACCATAAAAGCTTTAAATGAGAAGATAGAAAGAGAAAGAGAAAGAGAAATAGAGAGAAGGGGAGAAAGAAGAGGAAGAAGAAGAAGAAGAAGAAAAGGGAGAGATAGAGGGAGAGTGGGAGAGCGGGAAAATCATCTTTGTAATGATGATGGAAAATCAGGTAACAATGTTGGTGCTGAAGTAAGAAAATTATGATTATCGAAGGGGCAAAAATGAATTGAGTAGAAATGTAAACAAATTCCTTTCCCTTTTCTACCCAATGACCATCGACTGACCATTGGTGATACTCATCTCTCATTTTAATCGTTTTCTTAGAGAACGTGTAGACATGGTACTGGTTGAAACTGGTGATTTAGCTGGTGCTGGTGGTGGTGGTGTTGATGGCGCTGGTGATTTAGCAGCTGACCCAGGTTTACGTCCACGTCGAGATTTCACACCGTTCTTTGTACCATTTGAAGAGTTGGTAGTAGATTCTTTTGAGGTGGATTGTCCTGGTTTGGCTGCTCTTTCCTGTTGCTTGTAATTTTCAATCAATGCGTCACAACTTAAATTATCAACTGGTTCCCAAGTATTATCACGATCATCATATCCATGCCATTTTAAAAGGTATTCAACTTTACCATTGTTGATCCTTTTGTCCACTATTTTCTCGACGGTATACTCTTTAGTATCTCGAACGGTTGATTTTCTCAGTCTCTTTACTGGTGACATACTTTTTCTTGTTTTTTTTCTCTACTATTTCACTAAGAGAAAGAAGGGAATGTGAAGGGGCTTAACATGTACAAATGTAATGAAACTTAACAAGGTATCACAAAATCAGCAACAGGAAGTACAAAAGATGTAGAGTAGAGAGAAAAGAAACAAATTTATAAAAAAAATAATTCAAACCTATTGAAAACAAAAAAAAACTGTTAACATTTATCATGAGGCGCAAATAGCTGAGTTGGGAGGAGAACAAAGACAGATTAATCACAGTCGATTGCTCACAATCGATGTATTCCCATAGATTTGAAATCGATTTTTTCCAGTAAAAAATTGCCTCAAAATCGATTATTTTAAAAGATTGAAACGATTGTATTCAGATCGATTTCAATCATAAGCTCGATGTTAGTTAAATGAATGATGGAGAAAAAATTATAAGATCGATAGGTTAAAATAATCGATCAAACATGAAAAACACGTGGATCGAAAGTCGTAGTAGGGGCTCCATCTTGTGGTAACAATTAGAAACATTAGAAGAAGGAAAAATAAAAACGAAGTAACCGTAGGGCAAATTGGCCATAAATTCAATTATCAGCATCCATTAAGATGGCAGTATAAAGCTTTAAATCTAAATACAAGTACATGAGATAGAGAGAGAGAGAATAGGAGAGAAAAGTTAAGTTTTGCCTCTTCTTTTTTGCCTCTTTTTTTTCTTCATTTTTCTTACCTTGTTGGATCTTCTAAATTATCTATCGTATCATTAACACTATTTACATCAACAACGTTCATCTCGTAGTAACTAAAGGTAATCTGCAAAGAAATAAGAAAAAGACGATAATTAAAATTTATTGGAGAAAGAAAAAAAGGGAGAGAGAGAGAGATTTTCTCAACTAGAATAGTTTTCAATTATATATTGAGTGATACCAATAACAATTGAAATAATCATCATGATAAGATGATGATAGCAATTTGGGAATCAACTTTTATGATCATTATTATACTCATGATGAAAAGTTTGTTGATAGAGATGATTATCATCAGTGATGACACTTTGACAATATCAAACAAGTCTCATTACAACAATCGTAACATTTGTAACAATCATTTTGATTTCTGATGTCAATCATCAACAAAACTATTTACAATCATAACCAAACCTTATCAATTCGCTTTCAATGTTTTCTCCCCTGAGAGATTATAATTATTATTATTACATGTTTGTTATTGTTACTGAAAATAAGACAGAATCATAATCATCTTTATATCACAGCTCATTTGTTATTATCACCAAAAATGAACATCATCATCTTCTTCATCAAAAGCCTGGGAATCTGTTGTTTCATGTCTCTATGTTCAAACGAAACCGGAAACCGTTGGAACTGATAACTTTGTTTATCGATAAATCATCAATAGAAAATAACATGTTCTATTGTTGGTGATGACGATGATGATGGGAATCAAGTTTAAACAATATAAGCCGGAAATTCAATAGAATCAATCTAATTTAAGATGAATCATGCAGGAATAGGTTCAATTTCATTAACTTTCTCATCATTATCTGCATAAGGGTATATCCTGGATGAAGCTCTGGTACAAGTAGTGATTGATTCTGTTGATGAATTTACTTGGAACCAAATCAACATGAAAAGTTTACTCAACTTGTTTAATCAATGCAAAGATTTGATATCTTTTTTTTACATTTGGTTTGGATTAACTTGATGAATTTCAAATTAATTAAAACCAGTTCATCTCTAATGATATTATCTCACTCTGTCACCTTGATAGATGGGATAATCTCGAGAAAAGATACAAAAAACGACCATTCAATTGAGAAGATTAAAAGAGATTTATACCTTAATGACGGTAGATTAGATGGACGATTGAAGTTTAATTACTAGAAATTAAATTCTAATAAGTTACGAAATTAAATATACTTGACAGCCCAAGGAAATTGTCTAATGAAGCAATTTGGTAATAATAAACATCATCATAGGGAATGACATAAATATTTAAAGAAAAACTGTCAACAATAACAATTAACTAATTCTGCTTATGAGAAAAAAAAATATTTTGTTCACCCCGATGATGATGTTTATCAGCATATCCTTTCCTATGGCAATCGATTAATTGTTTACCAATTAGCTGCTTTAACCGTGAACAGTTTATTTATTTATTCTCATAATTATGATTGACTTTATCAAAAATTACAATCAATCCGGAAAATAACATTTTCTATTGTTAATTGTTACTTTGTTACAGTTTTTCTGTTGATAATCAACTCTGATCTGGAAATTAATTGTAGATTTTGGTGGGAATAAGTTGAATCTTTTCATGGGATAGACAAAATGAGTCAGACTTGAATTATTATCTATTAATAAATAGAAGGAAATAGAAATAAACTAAAGGATAGATAATGGTCAACGAAAATCATCATTATTTCTGATCAACAATCAACGCAAGTGGAAAAAGTGCAATCAACAGTCAAAAAGGTATTGATTGAATTGATTCTTTTCTTGGTTTCAGAAAAATATAACAAACTGGTTTCTAAAGTGATGAGAATGAAAAATGGAGTTTAACATCCTCATCATCATCCTCATCATCATCATCATTTTGTTTGATGTTATTGCTACTTAACTGAAGAGAAAGATAGATAAATAGAAATCAAACTTCAAATTGATGAATCAAAAGCTATAGTCAATTCAAAGCAATTAAATTGTTTTGAGTGATTAGATGGATGGTCAGATAGATAAAAAAAAGGGAAGCTAAAAATGTATCTCCACCCAAAGAGATAATAACACATGATGATGACCATCAGCAGTATCCATAGGGAGAGGCTGTTGAGATTACTCAAAGTATCAATCAACAAGTAGGTATGTAAGATAAGAAAAAGAGATGATGATGAAAATGTTTCAACTACTGCTGATTCTAGCGATGATGATTATGATGATGATAAAAGTAATGACAGAATAGGGAATTATAGTTAAATCAGTAAGGAACACAAGTAGAAAGCAATAGGGAATGTAAATGCTAATGATAATACGTAATATGTTTTGTTGGAAATAACAACTAATCAAAAAATAAGATATTGGTGTTGGGATGGAAAAGTTAACAATGATGTAAGAATTAATCTAAGGCTCTACACAATAGCAACATGATTATCATCTTCAATAATCAACAACAACAAGATTTAAAAGATAAGTGAGAGCGAGAGAGAGAAAAGATGATGTATTTTTCTTCATCTTCTTGTTCAAATTTATGATATTACAACGTAAAGAATCATAAACTGTGCTCTCGGTAGGTAGAGAGATTTAAGTTGTATTTCGTGTCTACAAGTTTCTTCACTTGTACCCTACGGTTATAATCTTTCATTTCTTTTTATTTTCCAGATGAATATTTAAGACTGTTAACTATTAGCACAAAGAGAAATGATGATGATGAAGATGAAGATGAGGAGGAGGACGAACAAAAAAGGTAAATAGCCCTTAGAAAAACCAAAAACCTTGACCTGGGCTTAGAGAGCGTGATCCAGGAGCAAAAGTAGTGGTACACACATAGAAAAAAAAGAATTGGAGAAGATGATCTTTGGACTTGACTATGGATGATGAGGATGAAGATCGACCTTTTCAACTTCAACTTCATCTTTACATTCTTTTCTTTGCTTTTGCTTCTTCTTGAAGAAAAAAAAAGAAAAAGAAGATGTATTCATCGTTTAGAAGAGAAGAAAAAAAAACTCTTTAACGTTTACAATCGAAGGGTAAAAATGGAAAAGAAAAGAAAATAAGAAAGTGAGTATTTATTGTTCGAATTACTATTATCATCTTTTCTCATCATTTTCATCAATGGTTATAACCTCATCATCATCATCATCTCAATTCTCAATATAAATCAATTTATATCAAATTCAATTGTTACTTTAACCTAAAGTTAACTTAAGTTGACCTTTTTTTTCCATGTTCATCTCTTTATCGTTGTTATCATGGATTCGTTATTGTTATTGTTTATCAATTACAGTCTCGGTGGATTAGGATGCTTCATCTTACTAATGATTTAATCTTTTTCATAATGTAATTTAAGTAGTTTGGCATTACTGTAAAATGAATATGGTGAAATTAAGGAAAAAGAATTTTTTCCATTAATCGGGAAAAAGTTAATCACTAATTCAGTAATTAACTATTGTATTTTAAGAAATTGGTAAATATTTCAAAACAGTGGCTTAGTGTGAAAAATGATTCTCTTTTATGGATAATCAACTTTTTAGAAAAGATAAACATAAAATGACATATTCTATTTTCCTTTTTCTACCATGTCCAATTTCGCGTTAAAATAACCAGAGAAAAAGAAAAGTTTTAAGACAGAGAAAGAGAAAATAGAGTAAAAGTAACAAAACAGAAAACCAGATAGAGCAAACAAACAAGTAAGAAAAAAAAGATGAAGATGGAAAGATAAAAATGGCAGGGGTACGTATTGGCGATAAGTCTCAATAATGATGATGATGGTGATGATGAGAGAAGATAAAGAAGGGATAATATCTGTCAGAAAGAGAAAAAATGATTTTCTTTTCTGATTCGTTTGTAAAAGTGTAACCTGAGATGATATAAGATTGAAGTTGTTCGTCCATCTTATTGATTTAACTACTTTGCGCTCTTTTTTACAATATCTCTTAAAGGTAAATTGCTTCAATGTCACTTGAGGCAAAATATTTTCTGATTTAAATGAGAGATATAAAGGTAAGATAGATGGAAGAGAGAAAGAAAAAGAGGAAGACAAATTAAGGTTAAGATGAAGCGAGAGAGAGAGAGAGGAAAAAAGAGAATAAACAAGATGCCAATCATTAGTAACTAATCAGACGAGAACAGGTTGGAGAGTATCAATTAAAAATCAACAGCGAGCAAATGATCAAAGTTGAGCGAGAGAGAGAGGAAAAATTCAGCACACGAATAAGAGAGGGAGAGAGATTCTCGGGTGATGATGATGATGATGATTTGAGGTAATAAAAAATAATGACCAAGAATAAATAATCGTGGCGTAATTACCTGATCTTTTAAAATTTCCTTCCTAATGAATTTCATTGGCTCCAGATGAGAATGAAATTGTTCAACAACAGTTAAATTAATTCCAAGTAAATGTTCAATTATATAGCCAATGGTAACATCATCAGGTAAACGAATTTTTTCACCCACTTCCATGAAGGAACCATTACTTGCATAGGGTATCATCTTATTGGCTAAAGTACGACTTAAACAAAATCCAGCTCCTCCGGTGGCAAACCAGAAAGAAATATTTTCTCTCTGATTTTCTGGATCAACTATAACCAATGGTGAGGGTATCGAGGGTTTACCAAGATACCAAGGCTTATTTGGTGAATATTTAGATAAATGTTTAACTAGACTAGGCACATGAACATAATTATCATCATCAAAATGACAGAACCATTTTTTATTGGTTGTAAGAAAAGTTTCCAATTCAGCGGACATTTTACAACATAAAGCAGTCCTATGGTGAGAAATTGAACAATTGGTCCTGATTAAATGTCCACCAGCATCACCAATTAATTTAGAATATTGTTCATCTGATGGGGAATCAGTGAAAAAATAAGTTACACCGGCTGATTGTTTAAACCAAGTATCTAAAATAATTTTCAATCGAGTCCGATGATTTGATTGGGTTGTTTTAACACTTATGAAAATGTCTTTCAAACGTCTCCTACCATAGACATAATTTGAAGTATAAGTTAACACAATTAAAAGAAAGTAAAGTTGATTAATTATCTTAAATTGTAACATTTTCACCCACAATTAAAGACATTGAAAGACAATTTAAATTAAATAAACACAATTAAGAAAAGAGAGAGAAAAAAACAACAATAAATAAAAAAAGAAAAACTTGAATTGAAGTAACGATGAAGAGAAAAGAATAGAAAATGAAAAATTCTACAAAAAGAACATAAAGCAGCGCCACCAATCGGTGTGCGCGAACATTTCATTTGATTGGTTAATCATTTTCTCTTGGAAGTGTAAACATAAATTTCTTGATTAATTGTTTCAATTTAATTTCTTCGTTTCTTTTAATTGTTTCATTTAAATTGTGATTTGTTTTTTCTCTTTCTCTCTCTTTTGTTTCTTGTTATATTGTTATTCTTTTTAAATGTCGGCCATTGTGGTTATGGGAGAAGCTCCTGAATCTGAAGAGGAAATTGATCACCATGAACCATCACCAACAATTTCCACCACCAACACCACCACTAATCCGACTAATCCCATGTATGATTCACTGTTACATCATAAATTAAGGGAGACAAATGAAATATTTCGAGATAAATTGATCAAATTATCCTGTCAACCTTATCTAAATGCGACTAAAGAAATAAATTCACTTTCTCAGCAATTAATTAAATCACAGAAAATGGTTCAACAAGTTTCAGGAACATTAACCAAATTAACTAAAGATTTAAAAAATGTTGAAATTACTCTGGATTCTTATGGTTTGGATTCATCATCATCATCATCACCATCATCAGCAATCCCACCGTTCACAAATAAACTATTGCAATCATCAACATTATTACCATCATCTTCAGCATCATCACCTCGAAGACAACCCGATGATTGAAAATCTAGACAATTATCATTATTGGATTATGATGACAATTAACAACAATCAACCAGAAGGAAGAAACTCAAATATGGCGGATTATGGAAATACTCCCATCTAGATGGCCCTGCCATCTCTATGTTTCTCTTTGTATCCAATTATCTCTGTTGTTATTCCCTCTCTCTCTCTATCCTTTTGTTTTCTTTAGTTCGCTTGTTTCCGAGGTGACACAAATCTCCCTCCGCCATCTTATTTTCTTATCTGCAAACATCACATGCAATTGTTTTTTCTTCCACAGCAAATATCTTCCACTTTCCATTCTCTTAAACATCTCATCTCTTTTTTGCCTTTAATTAATCCCCCTTAGATACTTAGTTCTGCTCGTTTTTCAATCTCTTTCTTCACCTTTAATTTTTTTCTCTCTCTCTCTGTCTCTGTCTCTCCCTCTCTTTTTGCTTCTTAGTACAATTGTTACTCCAGTAATTTAACACCATTCTCTTCATTATCGTTACCATTTTTTACATTTATTTTTTCTCTTCTTTTTATTGTTTTCCATTTTACATAATATGTCCTCTTTTAACAATCTTTTTAGTTTCTCTACAAGTCCTACGGTGAAAAAATTTCTTAGTTGGAAACAATGTGATGAAGATGATAAATGGGCCAGTAAAGCGATTGACTCATTGTTTAAAAAATTGAAAAAGAAAAAAGGTGCCATTGAAGAATTACAAAAAGCTCTTAATTTTCCAGGTCAACCTTCAAAATGTGTTACAATTCCTCGGTCACTTGATGGGCGTCTACAAGTATCACATCGTAAAGGATTACCTCATGTAATATATTGTCGTGTATGGCGATGGCCTGATCTTCAATCTCACCATGAATTGAAACCACTTGAAATTTGTGAATTTCCTTTCTCAGCTAAACAGAAAGATGTTTGTGTTAATCCATATCACTATAAAAGGATTGAAACGCCTGTTACCCTGCCCCCTGTTTTGGTTCCTCGACGAAGTGAATTTCCTCCTGGTCAATTGCCACCATCTTCCTTAAATAACAACAACAATTTTAACAACAATAATATTCTTAACAATAATGATAACAATAATCTTGATAATTCTATCCTAGGTAATCCTCTGAATAGTTCAAGTAATAATTGTGGTACTATTGAAAGAGGTAATCCAAATCCATTTGTTTCATCACCTATTAGTCCTTCATCTATATCATCCAGTTTACCTAGTGGAGGAGCATCTCACCAACAATCTGTTTATCAGGCTCCCCTTCATCTTCAACAACAACAACATCAACAACCTCATCATCAGCAGCAGCAACAACAACAACAACCTGCACATCAACTTGCACCACAAGCTCAACATCATTTACCTATGGGTTTACCTCCAGCCAGACAAAGTGCTCCATGTGGATTACCTTCAATGTCCTCAAATAACATTAATAATAATTCACCAATTTATAGTGATAATGATTTTTCCTCTCTTGATCCTTTAAATCTTCAAAATTCTCTCACTTTAAGCCCTTCCTCTCTGGTCTCAAATATGTCAAGTCCTTATGGACCCAGTTCACCTCATTTACCTATGGCTGAAACACCACCACCAGGTTATAGTTCACAAGATGAAAATCGTAATCAAAATGATGCCAATCAAATGGATACTTCAGATATGCCCATTGATTCAATACCAATACAATATCAAGAACCTGATAATTGGTGTAAAATTTTTTATTATGAATTAAATACTCGAGTTGGTGAGGCATTTCAGGGTTCAGATAATAATATAATTATCGATGGTTTCACTAATCCATCTTCACCAAATAGATTCTGTTTAGGATCTTTATCTAATGTTAATCGTAATTCAACAATTGAACAAACTCGACGTCACATTGGAAAAGGTACTTAATCTTGAATCATAGTTGATTCTTTTTATTACTTTGCTAATTTGTTTTTCTTTTTGTTTTTGTTTTTCTTTCTCTTATTTATTTATTTTATAGGTGTTCGATTATATTATTACAATGGTGAAGTTTATGCCGAATGTCAAAGCGATTCACCAATTTTTGTCCAAAGTCGTAATTGTAACCATGCTAATAATTTCCATCCAGCAACAGTTTGCAAAATCCCGCCAGGATGTTGTCTCAAAGTTTTCAGTAACTCGATATTTGCATCACTTTTATACAGAGATGTTCACAATGGATATGAAGCTGTCTACGAATTAACCAAAATGTGTACAATAAGAATGAGTTTTGTCAAAGGTTGGGGAGCTGAATATCATCGTCAAGATGTAACTTCAACTCCTTGTTGGACCGAAATTCACCTGATTGGACCTCTCCAATGGCTCGATCAAGTACTCACTCAACTTAAACCACCGATCGGCCATATATCATCAGTCTCTTAAAACAAAGAAACAAATTCTCTGCCATCAAACACACAAACACATAAAACACATTCACTTTCTTTTCGAAACATTTTTTTTATCGATCAAATAGTGATCTTAAACACTCATTAACTCTTTCAACATAAATCACTTTGTTAAAATTGGTACAATAATTTACAACTTCTATTCTCAATAATCTCAGCGATCATGATTCTTAAATCTACCAACAACAAAGTTCTAACCAATAGATGGCTTCAAATTTGAGAAAACAAGTTCGTAAATGTAAATGAATTTGATTTAATGAATTTCCATAAGATCCAATCATTGGGATTCCAATAATCCATCATAAAAATAATAATCTGATTGAAACATTGAATTCATGAAACTCCATGGATTCAATCAAATCAGTCGCAGCTCATGTAATAACAAAAACTTAGACTAATAAGTTTTCAATTGTGATAAACATAATAAACATTTTACAAATGATAATTATGATTACAATTAACCTTTAATTGGATTGGGTGTAGTTGAATATTTGGTTATCGTTGTCCACCAATCGCTCATTGATTGACCTCTCATTTTAACCCAATCATTAAATAGCCTCCGGGTTTCACCCAAAACGGTTGTATTATTTATCGGTGATCCAAAGATAATTAGATCAGGATTTGAATCAATGTAATCGTTTAATTGTTTGATCCACTTTCTAAAACCATTTGCAGCTCCTTCAATTACTTGTGTATCTTGTAAATTTGGTAATCTGTTAATCCGATAAGCCAACAATAAATCAAGAAATGCTTTAATCAAAGCTTCATTATCTTGATAATGATGTTGATTGTTATTGTTTAACGATGAAGCCACTTGATTGTTGGTATAATCAAATTGTTTTGTTAAATTGTTAATTGTTGTTGATATTATGATCGGTGAACCTTTGAAATCACTTTGGTTATAATTGATTTTTTCTTGATGATGTTTGTTATTTGATCTCAATTGATTACGATTCCAATGGTTAATCAATTTGGTTAAATTAACTGTTTCATCCGTTGTTGTATTCATCACAATTAAAGTTAATAACAAGAAACAGTAAAGGTAAATTGATTTAAAATACATCTTATTGGTTTCCCTACAATCAAATCAATTTAAATTGTCAACTAATTGTTTCTCAATATTTAACAAATTGTTCAATTGCTCAATTGTTATAAAAATTTTAATATTCACAACAAATCATTACAATTATAAGGGTTAATTAATTAACCCATATGATGATGATAAATACATGATTAGTTGTTTGTGATTAATTTAATCATGTTAATCGGAATCAAAGTGTAATGATAATTAATCAAGAAATGATGATTAAATAATAATAAGTGACAATTAAATTGTGAGATATTTAGATTTGTATTATAAATTGTTATCAATTTTCAAATTGATTAACCTTTAATTGTGCCAATCAAGGAGAAATCAATACTTGTATTGGTATTACGGTTGAAAAAGTTAAACATGATTAATTAATTATTAGAAAGTTTAATTGTTGATCAAGAAAATTCATTTGCTTTTTCCAATTTTTTCCAAACCAAACCTCTGAAAAAAATATGATCTTTGAATCTTTTTAAACAATTACGTCCACTTCCAATTCGTTTATCAGCATCCTGTTGATTGTAATTAGTAAATTGTCAATATTAGTCATAAATTATCAACTTGATTGTAACAATTAACTTACAAAGGAAAGCAGATCTTTGAGTAAACTTTTCATTGCCGGTGAAAAGGAATCACCTTCAAGTAATTTAGGAATCGTTTCCATGGCTTTGATTAGAGTTTAAGAATCCAAGTGAAAAGAAAAAGTTGACCATTAATAATTTGATTGTTTCGATACAATTAAAGATTGTTGTTTACTTTTAATTCTGTTAATTGTTACCTCTTAATAATGTTTCGGTTGAAAGTGAATCCTCTTTAAGGCATTTTTTGGTACAATAGATGGACAAAGGTGTTAACCCGGTGACCAATTGGAAAACAATGATTCCCAAAGCAAACCAATCTGATTGTTTACCATATTGAAGACCTTGAATGACCTCAGGTGCTCTGTATTCAGGTTTAAAGTGACCAGTAGTTGAATACCTGGTAAACTTTGCCCAGGTGAATCCGGTTAACCAGATACGACCAGAGGCTTCAATAAGGATAGAATCAGGTGATAGGTGTCTTAGTAAAATACCTTGACGATGAACTGAGTCAATGGCAAGTATAAGTTGACCGATAACCAATCGGATAACATTTTCCGGAAGTGGAGAGCTTACAATTACACAGGAAAGGGAAACACATGAAGGTATAAATTGGCTTACAAATGAATAAGTAGCCTCAGTTTCAAAGAAACCAACCATGGGAAGTATATAAGGTGAACAAGTTGACATTTTGGACCAAATCAATCGTTCATTCATTACCTGTTTCCAACCATTTTGATTACGTCTCATTTTACATTTCCAAATGACCTTCATCATGCCCTTGTCACCGGTCTCATGATTTGAGATGAGGTGACAACCTCCCCACAGGGAACCCAAATCTGATCCCAGAATTTGATGAATCTTAATCACTTCCGGGTACCATGAACAAAGACTTAAATCCATCATGATTTTCCGTTGACCAGAGATACAATTTTTCTAGGAAACAATTAAAATTACAATCAACCAATCAACCAATCAATCAATCAATAAATCATCAAACAATTAACAAGTATACACAACATAAATATGATTAATTCACATGCAACAACAATTTACTGATGATTATCTAATGATAATAATATGAAAATATTGCATTTAAATGTATTAATGATCATTATTGTTTAAATGAATAAAATTAATCATAATTAGTTTTAATCGTAAACTAATATTTGACCTTAATTGTTATTTAAAGAGGTTTAACCTTGTATTAAATTGCTGTTGTAATTGTAACCAATACAATTATATGATTAACAATTACCAATATATATAAATCAATCAATTCATTATCATGGTCAACAATCAATTGTAATAATTATAATTTGAATCAATGTTCATTTGATTGTTCAATCAATAAGACACAACAATTAATATAAAAGTTCAATTGTTTCATTAATTGTGATAACAATAACTTTCCTTGATTAATTTACATAAACATTAGATTAAAGTTGTATGATTAATCAAGTATTTCAGTTGATAATTAACTTTAATCACAATTGATTCAGTTGATTAATTTGAGAAAAATTTTTCTCAAAAATTGAATCAAAATCTAAATTAAGGTAAACAATTGGTGTTGGTTGGTAACTACAATTAACAATTGTTATTAGCTAAAAATATGAATGCCATTAATTGTTATCATAATATTAACTTAATTGTGATCAATTTTTCACCCTTTTAAAGTTGTACTTTCACTCCTATTGATTACAATTGAGCTAAAAAAAGTTAATTGCTGACAATTTATTAGCTGGTTAACTGATTGATTGTAACAAAACAATCAATCAATTAATGATTATACTTAAATCCGTTAATCTATTGGTTCCTGTTTAAATCAAGTTGAGTAAATTGTACAACCGGAAAAACAATTTAATTTAATTCAATTCAATTTGATTCCTTTTTTTTGTATATTAATAACTTTTGTCTGTTTATGACAAAATTACAATTTGATTGTTAACCAAACAGTAACAATCAAATCCTCAACACTTATAATGATTTAACTGTTAATCAAATTAAATAATTTTTTCATTTGCGTTACTTTGATTAAATCAAATTGTCACCAAGGTTAATTGTTGTAAACGGTTAACTATATAATCTGATAGCAGTGATTTAATTGTTACGAAATTTTAAATTCTTACCAAATTATCCCAATTAACTGATGAAAAAAATGGTTGTGATTTAATTTGATCAATTCCAGAGTTTCGAGTCCATTTGAGTCGCTTTTTATCATCCTAAGAATAAGATTGTTATTAAATTGTCGACAATTAACAACTGAATCAAACAAAATGATTAGAAAATGAAACAATTAACTTACCCTTTCAAGTAAACCTTTAATTAATCCATTGGCTTCAGGTGAAAGTTTATCCGTTAATTTAGATGACAATCTAATCAAATCTAAATTCATATAAATCAAGTCAATAAGTTAAATGGATTCTGAGAAAGTTTCATCAAGGTGGAAGAGGAAATAGATCCTGATTTCAAGGTCATCATCAAGGTTATCTATCGATTGACCCATCGAAGACGTCGATTCAATGGTCAGTAAGTTTATTACCTTCAAGAATTTGTTTACAATTTTCCTTGGCCATTTTTTTACAAAGTAAATTTTCATCCCAAGGGTCAAGTAAAACTTGACCAGTTAACAGTTCGTAGATGATTAAACCGAGACTCCACCAATCGGATGCAATTCCTATTTAAATCAATCAATCAATCAATCAACCAATTAGTGGACAATTATAAAGGTTAAAAACTACTGACCATAAGGAAGACCCAACAATATCTCAGGAGCACAATATGAGAATTTAATATAAGAAGAACCCGGAAGAATAGATAAACATTTTCCTTTCTCCTGATGATGATGATGAAGATTAAGATGAAGATTAAATGTATTAGATGATAAATATGTTTGGAATTTTTCAAAAAGAGAGGAAAAACTGACCATTCAAATGACCATTAGGTTGCTGGGAGTTAAACACTTACCTCGCAGGTTGAAAGATCTGATATTTTGATTAATCCTTTCCAGTTGATGAAAATACTATTTGGTGTTAATCCTCTGTGTATGATATTGTTATCATGAAGATAAGCTAATCCCATGACCATTTGAGATGAAATATCGATCACATCAGATTCATCTAGTGATTTATTGCCGGAGGTTAAATTTTTCAATGAAACGTAAGGGACGTTTTCAGTTAGAAGGCAAATACTATCAAGTAGAAATGAAACGAAGAAACAAATTAACTTTAATTAAACTCAATTTACCTTGTTAATTGTTAATCTTTATGGGTTAATTGTTTACCTATTATCAATCTCCAATATACCAAATAGTTTGAGGAAATTGTCATTCATTGAAACTTTTTCCCAAACTTTTTTCTCTCTCCTTAATTCCCGAGCCTAATAACAAAGAAATAAGAAATTTAAATCGTTACAATTGAGAGTAATTAAGATGATGATTAGTAAATTAATCAAGGTTAATTTGGTCTCGATTGATTGTCAACGATTGTATTTGAAATTGTTGAACTCGAATCACTTAATTGTCACTTGATTATTTCCCTTTTCTTGAAGTAATTAAATCAAAATTAAACTCAAATCTTGATTATTTCAAAGAGATTCAGTTGAATGATTTGTTGATTGGTTTGATTTTTTTCAAAACTTTTTTTTGATTTAACTTCAAGTTAACTAATAAAATCTCAATGATGAACAATTAACTTAATTGTCAAGCCTGGAAAAAGTAAAAAAATTGATTGTTACCTAAAATTAATTGACAATAAACAGATAATTAAACTGACAAATTAATGAAAGGATCTCATCATTAATCATCAATCGATAAGGTGATGATACAATTAACTGTCAACAATTAGTTGATTAAATCTTGAATTGATTTACAAAATGATTACATTGTTTTTTTATTCATTAGTTACACTAAAAAGTTGGTTAGATTGAAAGTTTGATAAACTTTAATTGTAACAATTTAACTGGATAGATTTAAGTCTATGTGTTAATTGTCATTTCGTAATCACCACTATCATGGGAGGAAGTTAACTAATTAACTTCCGGATTCAATGGATTACCAAAAGACAAGATAATCTAATTAAAGAGTTGCCAAAAAAAAGTTCAATGTTTAACTTTGGATGAAATTGATGATCTAACTTAGATTAATCAACACAAGCAATTAGATTTATCTGATAATATTAATCTAGTTAAAGTAAATCTAGATAATCATCATGAGAATCCAATTCTAAACACTGATTGTTGAGATTTATTGTAAATAGAAAAAAAAATTAAGAATTGATTAACGTCATTAACTCCATTTTCATGGTGAAAACTCATCATCATGAGAAACTGAACCAATAGATGAATAATTAATCACCGATGGAAGAGTAATCAATACATTTCAGAGAACAAGAAATATATATATTAATTGTTAATGAAAATTCATGAAAGAAAATTAAGTTTCATTCAAGGATTATCATGATTATCATGAAATGATTATAATCTAAAAATAACATTGATCAACATTGAGAAGAGGAAAAACTAATTGTGAACATAATTTCAATATCTCTTCAATAAGCTAATCCAAACTAAAGAGACACAATGAACTTTTTTCAGTCAGTTTATTCAGGAAATTGATTCAGTTGATTGAGTTTCCATAATTCATGGTGATTATGATAATCATGATAATCGTCATCATCGTCATCATCATCATATGGTTAAGATGAAAACAACGAATTTGAATTTAACTGATCAGTGGAAACTATTATTTATGAAATCACTTGAAGATGAATTTCATTCTGGATGGATAATCGTTTTGGTTTAGTTTAATTAGATTATATTAATTATCTTTGGAGGGACGTTTTGTTTTTTACCTTTGCTAATTTCTTGGTTTTCGGGAAAACTTTGCCGATAAAATAACGATCAGAATTGAGGTGACGGATAAAGAAACACTGAGAGAACATGTAATCCGATGTTGATCTGATAATCTTAACATTATCCGTTGGATTAATGTAGCTTTCAATCAACTGATTGTTGGGAACATTTGAAAACTTATGATTAATTGAATTGTTATCATTGTGATTCTTTATATTATTATTATTGTTGTTGCTGTGTATGGGGTTGAAATCGTTGTAGGGTTTATCAGCTGATGAATCAATCCAATCAAAATCCTTGGTATTATTGTTATTGTTGGAACAATTGAAATCACTTGGTGATAAATTGAACGATTTCAGGATAATCGATTTAGAAACTGAATTTTCATCTCTTTCATCATGATGATAAACTCGAGTATCAAGTGAGTGTTTTTGATAATCAGGGAGCACGTACTTCCGCTTGGGCTACAATAGTGATCAAGATGATAAAGAAAAGGACAGTTAGTTAAATAATGAAGATCATGATTATACAGTCTTGCTTTTTTCGCTTCTTTCTCTTGTCATATGTCTTCAATTCTGATAAATATAAGTCTCTTCATCTTATCATCCCTTGAGTCTGTCTATCATCTCTGTCTACATTTCATTCATATCATCATCATCATCTCTCTCTCTCTCTCTCTCTCTTATCCTCTCTTTGGGTTCTATTCATAGGGAAAAGCTTTACAACTCTAATGGTTAATTTGGTTGATGAATAAAAATAAATTTCCATGGGAAACGAAACTTTCTAATTCCAACTGATTGGCAAATGAGAATTAATTGTTGACAATTAAGCTAATTTCTTACCTTTTCGTGATCACTCCATAGAGATTCAATCAAACTCGCCATCGTATTGATTTTAAATGTTATCTCATGTAAACTAACAATCGATAGCATTAATTGTCGTTGATGATTAGTGTTTAATCAATTTGTTGTAAACTGATTCTAAGCCAATATAAACAATTAAATGATTTTTTTTATAGTTGTACAGACAAAATCAATTGGTAATCAAGAAGTTAATAAAGTGAAGTAAAAGTTTTCAACTAATGGTAAAGAGTAACAATTAACACAACCGATGGTAAAACGTGTTGATTTGTTAATTATTGATAAACCATAATCCATAGTGAAGATAAGTCAAACTCGGTAATTAAGTTAATCACAAAGATTTTTAATCCAAAAATTAAGTTGAGACACGAATTTGAAAGAGAGATACTTTTCTTCTGATACTGTTTAACTGTTGTCAACTCGAAGTAAACTTGTTACCACAATAGAGAGAAAAAAGTTTCTCAAATTTTCCCTCCATCGAAATCGACTCACATTTTTTACTCTCTCTCTCTCTCTCTCTCACTCACTCTTTCTCTCTCATCATTCATTTCTTTTTCTCACTCACTCACTTCCTCGTCTTTCATATAAGAACCTCCTTCCACGATCGAAAGATCATATTCTATCCTCGTTTTTTTCTCACCCCCTCTTTCTCATCTTTCTTCGTCATCATAATCGTCATAGTCATAGTCTCTCCCTTGCTCTCTCTCTCTCTCTCTCTCTCGCATGTAGTGTCTTCTTCGAAATATAATGTCAAGATTGTCAACATCTATTTCGTCTTCTTGTAGAAAGAAATAGAGAGAGAGAGAGAGAGAGAGAGAGAGAGAGAGAGAGAGAGAGAGAGAGAGAGAGAGATGATGATGATGATGATGATAAGCTAGATGAGGATGTTTTGTCTCTTTGAAATGAAGTCACTCAATGTTAAATATGTTCATTTGCTTTTGTAGGTTAACCAGAGCCATCTACAGGTCTATGGGAATATGATGGTAACCAAGATTTAAGAGAATTGGGTTCACATAAAGTTGACATAATCTTTGCACCCAAAAAAAAATAGATTAATATTTTTCTCAAACGAAATTGGTTTATTCGGATTAATCTAATGTTAAGGTGACATTGTCATTGTTACAATTTTCAAGGGTGAAAGGTTAAATTTGATATTTAGAATGAAAATCTTACACTTGAAGGTTGAGAATGAAGAAAAAGTTTCATTCACCATGAGAAAAACTTAATCTATTCCAAGATTAAAGTTATACCTCAATTCTTGGCTCAAGTTACTATTTGAACGTATTGGTTACAATTGTCAATAGTTATTCTGATTAATAGTTCCGAGAAAAGTTGGTCATCTGTCATGAAATTCAACATGATCAACTAGATCTCCATGTACCAAACTCATTGAATATTTTTTAGATGCTCTCAATGACCGATATAATCTTTGTATGGAAATTATTTCGCAAGAATATCATTTATCATTCTCGACAATCGAATGAGCCTAAGCGTGAGAAAACACAGAGAATTGATAGTGAGAAAATCGAAAGGGACAAAAAGGTTCTAACCAATAGCCCCAGGGCTGGACAATGAAATGGTAAACCTGTTGACCCAAAGTATTTAAAGCTCAAAGTAAATAATCAGTTGATGACCGAAGGTCAGTTATGAGAAAATGTCAACTTAGATGAGACTAATTTTTTATATGAAAAAAGCTGCTAAAAAGTTTGAGTGTCGATTGATTGATTTTTAAGCTTCACTTTTAATAAGACAATTAAATGGACAAAAAGATGAAAGTTAATCATGTTGAATTATCAATAATTAGGTTGACTTGTACAATAGTAAGGTGAGATCTCGGTACAGTAAACGGATGTAGCATTGTTTTGAGTGAGTGACACAACTTCCCCAATTACGGCCAACAATACAATGCCAGGTCGGCTCGAAAGCGGCATCAAAATCTTGCTTAATACTTTCAGCGATCAATTTTTCCGTCGTATAAATGGCCACCGCTTGTGAGGCTATTTGGAGGGCTTTTCGTTGCATGTGCATCGGCATATCGGCTGCTTGAATTTTCATCTCCTTTTCGATAACCTCGACATCGGTCACTGTTGTAGAGTTTGTCGTTGAATATCGTCGGTCACCTGTTCGATCTTTCGACCTCTCCTTGTGGCGATCTTTTCTTCGTCCATCTTCCGATGGCCTGAAAACGAGAAAACAATCAAGTTAATTTCGAAAAATTCTAAATTAATGGAAAAACAAACTTACATGTAAGGTGCTGATCGCTTGAAAAACTCATCTAAATGGCTCGAGAACCTTTCACTTTGATTGTCTGTGCAATAGATTACACCTTTAATTGTGTAAAGAGAAACAAATTACATTCAAATTGATTAGCAATTAGATCGTAATTTACAATTATGTAATTTAAAGATCATTGATTAATATGATTAACGGTAATTAGTTTGATTCTATCATCGTTTTTTTTGACTCTGATGGGATAAAAAGGTTATCACGATGTTAAAACGTGGGTAACAATTTAAATTAACTTTTCATCATCTTTTAATTGAGGATAATTTAGTAATTGTTGCTATTATAAACTCGAAACATGAAATTGTTACAACTATTAATATGAAGCAAAAAAAAACTACCGTTAATCTGATCACAATCATCATCATTATAATAACATTATCGTTATTATCATGATCATTTTTTTTCCCGCCAGTAAAATATTATCAAGTAACTGATCGGTTAATTGTCAACAATTAACTTACTCCTCTCTTTTGCTGGTGTTGTCGTTAAATGATTTGATTTGAAATCACCTTTACGGACTTTATTGTAAAACGATACGGCACAAATTACACTGTAAACCCTTAATCCAGTTAGAAAGCCAATTATCACGGAAACAAATATATCTGTATTACCTGGACTAGACTAAATCCGTTAATCCAATCAAAGGATTACCATGAAAATCGGATTCCAAATGAAAATGAATGAGAAAAACAAAATAAACAAGATAAGTTAAATGAACACAATGTAACTTTACAAACAATATTAATCTGATATCCTAATTGTAATTAGTAAATTGGATAAACATTGCATTTGATTATTTCAGTTTAAGATCAAATTACTAAATCAACAATCAAAAATACAACGGCACGAGGATTGATTAAACAATTAAGATTTCGCTGTCTACTAAACTATGATATTATAATAATAACAGTGATTAGATAAGTTAATCAATGACTGTTTAATTAAATGATAAAATGATTACCATAATTGTAATTGAACCCAATAAACAATTCAAATAGTAATCAAGCAAATGCTTGTTGACCGCAAGACATTATTGTTGATATTTGGTTGGTTTTAGTAATTGTAATGATAATTTGATTTGAAATTCATTGTGATTAGTTAATTGTGATTAAACTTACTTGAAGAACGGCAATTCTAAGCGCAGCATAAGCCGTTAGTTGATCGTGCTCAGCTGGACCAGGTATCCTCATATCTTTAGGGAAATGATGATCTCTAATGAAAAGCTAAAGGTAAAAAAAAAGTGATTGATAATCAATTCAGCAACAATTTAGCATAACAATTAAATCAAACATGCAACATTTAACATGGATTAGCTTAACTTGATTATAAGGTTGGAAGATTTTTTTTATGTAAACATGAGCGCATCTATGATTAGTTAATTGTGATGTTACTTGTTGTTAGCTAACAAAACAACATCAACAATTTAGTAAAATGATTAAGTTATCAACTATTGAAACACTGAGAACAATTTAACTTTTTATATTGGTTGTTTTCTGAGATACAAATCATTGGATTGGTAATCAATTAGTTTTGATTGTTAATTGTTGTAGTTAATTGTGATTACTTACCATGATCATACGAACCATGACAAAACCAGAACTCGCAGCGATATCAACCGCAGCAAAAACTGCCAATAATAAAACGGTAGTTAAGGAAACATCTTTCTGTTTAAATTTAGAACAATTAAGAAAATTAAAGAGCAATTAGATCAACTATATACGCGATAATTATAACAATTGCAATGATCATCAAATGATTAACACTTTTCAAGGTTTTGATTGGGTCAAGATTTGAGTTGGTCATCAAACTAATCCAACAGTTTGATTTGATAATCAGTTTTTTTTTACCTTTGTAATGTTAATTGTTTCAATTTTTTTTTGTTCTTACAATTGGAAAATCATATTATCAGAAAGGTAATTTGTAATTACATTCAATGGGTAACAATCAACTGATTGTCAGGTCAAGTGAATGAATAATTTTTCAATTACAATTTAAGCGTAAAAATTGAGTTAATTTAGTTCTTATGGTAATTACAAAGTAAATTATTGATGAACAATCTAAATTAGTTTCCAACCAGATGATAATTATTAAGATCGTTCTGAGAAGAAAAAAAAACTAAAATAAGAAGAGCAGAAAAGTTTCATCTCTCTCATGAATTAGATTCAGGAACTGATGAAAACTCCATGAAAAGTTATACAAAAATGATTATTATCCTTTTAACCCTAAGGGCTAATTTCAAGAGAGTCAAATTATTACATAAATAGGAAGAAGTAGTTTCTAATCATGTTAATCATAAACAAGCCGGTTGATTGATAAAATTGATCATTTGTAAATCTCACTTGATTTCAAGTTTACTCTTAAATTGTGAACAATTAACTTACAAGTTTCGATTGTTAAATTAAACAACATTGATCTACATTCAATCATATTTGTCTCTTGTATAAGATAATCAAATTGAACCAAAAAGAAGACAAAAATTATATGAAAAGTTTGTCAAACAATTAGGTTAATTATCATTTCTCTATCTACAACAATTAACTAAATACCTCAAGGTAATAATATTTTAGAAAGGATTAGATTAGAATCCAAATAAATGAATAAATGTCTTTTTCTTCAGTCAACAATTTAATTAGTTTGATAATGAAATTAAAGGTAATCAATTAGATAAGATTAAAGTTGTCACCAAAGTTCATGGTGTCTGAATTGCGAAATGAACAATTATCCAATACTAATGATTGAAATTAGAAAAAAGAAAACTTTAAATGTCCATCTTAACTATTGAATGGTCAACATTAATTACTGAATTGGAATCAGAAGTAAGTGATAATCTGTGAAAGATTATAATGAGTATTGAGTTTAGATGAAGATGAAATTAGTTGAGATTTCTGATGATAATGATGATAATGATTATTATCAAGATATAGAACCGGATTATCAGGTCAATTCAGGCCTGAAGCTGGAAAATTATTTCTCTTGAAAATTCCTGTTTAAATGTTTTCTATTCCATGTAAACCAATGATGACCATCATGATGATGACATAAAAACATTGAGCAATCATCATCACCGATACCTTAAAGGGTATCTCCATCTTCATCTTCATCTTCATCTTCATCTTCATCTTTCAGAATTTTTATCCTTCTTTCTTGCCCCTGTTACAGTTAATTCAGTGAAAATTCAGTTCATTTGCTTAAAGGGATGAAGATGATAATCTAAATCATCTTGAATCAACTTCCTAAGAAACTAAACTTGATCCCGAAATTAAACCTTGAACTAATTGATAAACTGTTCATTGATGGATGTTAACTAAATAATATACCGTTATTTAGCAATCAAGGAAATGGTTAATTTAGCTAAACATGATTAACTTAATTTCTTACAGTTTTAGGTTTAAATTTTTGAAACATTTAAAAGTTTAATTACAAGTTTAAATTTGCCAATGATGATTTGTATTGGAAAATGATCATTAATCAATCTAATAACTGAATTAAATTGTGATTTCATTTCAATTGTTTGAAAATTTATCATCATTTTCATCGTTAACAATTGGTGATAATTGTTATGGTTAATTGTTGATAAGTTAAATCATATTTGATTGATAATCTAATACTATTATCATGTTGACTGAAGTTTTCTGATTCCTGATAAATTATTAATGAGACTGATAATAAAAAAAAATAAGGATGAACTTGTTTACCAAACAATTAACTAACTAAATGTTATATCATTTGTATCGTAATTAGTTGATTGTTAACCTTAGCAATCAGTTTTATATTTAGTTGAAAAGTTTAGCAATTTACAGATGAAAATTAGTTAATCTGATTCCTCTTGATAATCTTGTTTGGGTGAAAATTTTGATTGCGTGTTTAATTTTCATTTGATTGATTTGATTCTGATTTAGTTGAATAGATTCTGATGATTATGATTAAGAAAACTAATTCAACAGAAATTGATGATTACAGACTATTAAGTTTCTCTAATCAACTCAACTGAAACTTGACCACCATCCCAAACAAAACAAGACTTGACCTCTAACTTTGATGATGAAAATATTATATGAATTATCAAAAACATCATCAAAAATCAAACGGGATTTTATATATAATAAATTGTTACGATTAACAATCATTAAGTTAATCAACTGAGATACAACAAAGTGTAACGTTGATAAATGATCATCAATGTTGATTAGTTGATTTAATTGTCAATTAACTTACCACATTACGAGTCTCTCGAACAGCATAAGCCATCCAAGCCCAGCTAAAGATGTGCATCAAGACAAAAATTACACTAAGAATAAGGGTTGTCCGAGATGACCATAATTCAACTGGACACAGATCAATGGAACGATCGATGTTCAAGTTAATTGTTATCGAAAAGAAAAACAAGTTAGAATAAGTTATTCTTTTTTTTCCAATTCAAATTCGAAACTTACCAATTAGAATATCGAAATCTTGTCGAAGATTCTCCACATGAAATGATCTGATTTTCTCATCAGAACTTGTCGATTCTTCGAGCTTATTATTATTCGAGTTTATATTTATATTAATACTATTTGGTAGCCATACAGTTGACATGTAAGAGAGAAATGTAACTTCCTTGTTAACGTCATAAAGTTTGGCGGTTAAAAGGATTAGAGCTAAAAAGGATAATCCCTGGGAATATTTCTCCAGAGAAATCAATTGGGTAACATCAATGTCAGGCTTGTATGGAAGTGATACATCATTACCTGGATCTAGAAGAAGAAAAGAATTAGAAAATTGTCACATTAATTGTAATCAAAATTTAAACAAAGGGAAACAATTTAACTTATTCTCACCTAAATTTACAATGAAAGTCTTACGGCCAAGTTTATTAAGAAACTTATGAATCGTTGAACAATAGGTTGTTTTCCCTGAGCCAGGTGGACCTACGACAATCTGACCGAAAATAACTTTATCACTATTTAAAGAATCACCCATCATGAATTTAAGTTTTAATCGTTTAATTAGACTTAAAACTTAATTAAGTTGCAAAAGTAAACAATTTATTTTGATTTTCAAAACGAAAACAACCCAAAGCTATAAACTGCGCATGCGCGTGAATTTATCTTAACTCGTACGTTGATAGATGGCGACGTTTCCATTACACAGGGCAACTTCATTTTACGCAGATTTTAGTTATAAGTCAAGAACCGGCTGAGGGGCCGCGAAAGAGGGGCCGCCAGGAAGCCTCAATCCTCTGGGTATGAGCACCAGTTACTGGATCAACAAAGTTCTTTGAATGATTTACAGTCTGGTGCTTATAACCTCGGGACTTGAGCTCCCTGTAAGCCTTCCACCCGTCAGTCCTAATCAACGTACCCACGGCCACGTGATCTTCTATTATCGGGGTAAGGGTCTTAGATGAGCGGCTATTTCCAGGACATATCACAAGACGTAGGTCCTCAGACCCGTCCTGGATCATGCCCAACACCCAATGCCCGTCGATGGTCCGACCTCGGTGGTACTTACGTCGACCAAATTTGGCCTCGTCTATCTGTACCACCTGTCCAGTACCACCGATTTTCCCCCGCCTTAATTCATCCTGAAGAAAGGTAAATGTCACGGTCTCTCGAAACAGCCTGAACCAATCAGCCACTGTTTGAGTAGACACACCGGCTTCAGCACGCGCCGAATCATAGTCCACATCCGTGCACCAGGTGTACATCAATCGAAGTGCGTCCTCAATATCAATTTTCAACCCTTCGAAGGCTGATTTGTAGGACGCACTCCGTGATTCTGGCCTGGATTCCGAATGCTTCCCATGCTTCGGGCAACGAAACGTGCCAACAGGACCACGATCGACCTCCCAGGTCATCGGGCACCGGTGCTGACCACAGGAGTATGCAGAACGCAGGAGACCTTGTTGTTGTGCCCATTCAATGGCCGTCTCCCTGCTTCTGCATACCTCCCTCTCCAGCCTAGCATGGCTCCACACACCATCCATAATGATGATGAAGGAAAAAGAAAAGAAAAAGAAAGATGGAGATGGAGATGAAAAAGAAAGAGAAAGAGAAAATGAGAATGAGAATAAGAATAAGAGTAAGAAAGAGAGAGAGAACAAGAGCAAGAGTGAGAATGAGAGTGAAAATGAGAGCGAGAATGAGAGCGAAAATGAGAGCGAGAAAAGAGATGTGAACGAGAGAAAGAACGAGAATCAAATAAATAGAATTCAAAAATATTGTCAACATAATAGGTTCAATTTAGGCTCCCTCATCTCGCTCCCTCAAATCTAAATGCTAACATGTGCTGCCTCTATCAATTATTTTTATCATTAGAATAGCCGTTCACATCAATACTAACCATTGATTAACAAATGACCTTGACATTTAGGTATGACCTTGAACATGTTCCACATGTGATATAGTGCTATAGTTCATACTAGTTCATGAGTTATATGCTAAAACCCGTTTAAACCTATTTTCAATCGGTCACAAGTACCAAACGGATATGCCGATTGGACTGAAATTTCGGTCATAGATACTTGGTACTATGATGTACATACAGGCTGAAAATGGCTTAGCTAAAAGCAATAATAGTGTTATAACAAAACTTATTATTTTCCCATAGAGCTCTATGTAAAAATCGACTTTTGTCGCGCTGTAGCTCTGCTCACAGAAGTTTCCTCAAAAATTCCATCAACATGTGCATTACTATGTGTGACAAGATTATTCACAAGAAATTTAAAGTCGATATTCCAGGGGTCTTGTTCTAGAGTCTTACCTAATATAAACTTCAACGTTTGACTTTAATACTGCTACTAATAGAGGCAATTTTTTATGCTGTTTTTCATAAAAACCTTTGAATTACCTCTAAATTTCAATCTATCGTTAAATGGCCTCAATGATCCTGAAACTTTTTATGCAAAGTCCTTCAATTCTGAAATATGTCTGTAGTACACACTCCGGACGAGGTCTGATCTTCTAATCCCACCGGTTCTTGACTTATAACTAAAATCTGCGTAAAATGAAGTTGCCCTGTGTAATGGAAACGTCGCCATCTATCAACGTACGAGTTAAGATAAATTCACGCGCATGCGCAGTTTATAGCTTTGGGTTGTTTTCGTTTTGAAAATCAAAATAAATTGTTTACTTTTGCAACTTAATTAAGTTTTAAGTCTAATTAAACGATTAAAACTTAAATTCATGATGGGTGATTCTTTAAATAGTGATAAAGTTATTTTCGGTCAGATTGTCGTAGGTCCACCTGGCTCAGGGAAAACAACCTATTGTTCAACGATTCATAAGTTTCTTAATAAACTTGGCCGTAAGACTTTCATTGTAAATTTAGGTGAGAATAAGTTAAATTGTTTCCCTTTGTTTAAATTTTGATTACAATTAATGTGACAATTTTCTAATTCTTTTCTTCTTCTAGATCCAGGTAATGATGTATCACTTCCATACAAGCCTGACATTGATGTTACCCAATTGATTTCTCTGGAACAATCAATGAAAGAATGTAACTTGGGACCAAATGGAGGTTTAATTTATTGTATTGAGTATTTGGAGACTAATTTAGATTGGTTAATTGATCGGATTCGTCAAATTTGCTTCAATGATTCCGATGGAAATACAAGTGATAAACCATCTTATCCATATCTCATATTTGATTCTCCAGGTCAAGTTGAACTTTATGTTCACAATAAGAGCCTAAAAAATATAATCACCAATTTAACAAGACGAATTGTTAATGGTTTTGATTTAAGATTAACTTCTGTTAATTTGGTTGATTCTTATTATGCCAACGATCCTGGTAAATTCATCTCAGCTCTTCTTAATTCATTGGCGACCATGTTACACTTGGAGTTACCTCATGTTAATATTTTATCCAAAGTTGATTTAATTGAGAAATTTGGACCAATACGATTTAATATTGACTATTATTGTGAAGTTATGGATCTGAAATATTTAATTGATCAAATGATTGATGATCCATTTTTAGAGAAACACAAGAAACTTAGCCAATCAATTGCCGATGTTATCGAAAGTTATGGTCTGGTATCATTTGTACCTCTCGACATTAACGATCCGAAAACAATGGTCAAAGTGATGAGGCTAATTGACAAAGCCAATGGTCATTTTCTGATGGACATTGAAACAGAGGAAAAGGTACAAGAAATTTACGAATCAACTCAAAAAGCGGAATTTGATTATGCCAAATACATGACAATTCGTGAGAGATTAATCAATTCAGAAGATATTGGCAATTCTTCTTGAAAACTTAATCCATATTCAATTTCATTGGAATCACTAAAAACTACTATCAAGTTAATTGTTCTCATCACGTTCTGGTCAAACAATTTAATGGCGATTTCACTGTACTGCCAACTAGTTGATTTTACTTTCACTTCAATCAACTAATTGTTATTCTAATTTACAGAAAAAAAAGCTTCATTCTTTTTTCGTGTCTTAATTGTCACAACAATATCTGTATAATTACCTGAACTATTCAGTATTTTTCTCAAATATTGTTGATTATTGTAAAGAGACACACGAACAATAAACAATGAGAAAAAAATTACAACCTTAATACTGTTGAAATTCAATGTGAATACAATATTTGACCTTGAATTTCAATAGGAATCATGGTTAGTTAACTAATGACTGTTAGAATTTCATTCTCATGGAAATTCAATTGAAATGAAAGGTTGATGTTATTGAGAGTGATCATCAGCTGATCGCAACCTTATTATCATTTGAAAGAAACACAACAAAGAAGTAACATCTAAAATCTTTAACCAACACTAATCATCGTTCGTTTTTTTTTAAATTGTGATTTATATTCGATTCCTCATTCAATCCATCAGGTAAATTCAATCTAATTAATTGTTCTCTCAAACCAAAAACACGAAAAAATTGTCAGCCATTACCTTGAGAACTCGTAACTGTTTCCTTAGGATTTTCTTTCTAATGATATTATTTTTTTTCCTTTTCTTTTAGCATTTCCATCATCATGTCAAATGACCGAAATTCTGGTAAATCATCTAAACGGGTTGTTCTTAAGCCAGGACACTCTCTCATGGATTGGATCAAATTAGGTGCTGGTAATAAGGATCTCTCAGGAACCGCTGGTTCCATGCCTGAAGTAACCGTTGAAGAATTGGAGAAACATGATAATTATGATGATTGTTGGATATGTTTAGACCGAAAGGTTTATAATGTTACACCGTATCTTGAATTTCATCCTGGTGGAGCTGATCAGTTAGTCCAAGGAGCAGGTAGAGATGCAACTGAACTATTCAATAACATCCATGCTTGGGTTAATTACCATGGGATGTTATCCAAATGTTACGTTGGTAAATTAAAGCCTGGTACCCATGCCAAAAGAGCACCAGTGCCTAAGCCTGTTAAAAGTAGTTCCCAATCATCTTCATCTTCATCCACGACCAAATCATCTTGATTGTTTTTGCTTCCCCAAATATCCAAAGTATTATAAATCTCTAGTACAAACCTTGATGGTGCCAAAATTATATATATTCAAGGTGCAATTTAACAACAATTAACATCGTCCTGGTGATATAACACTAAATCCAAACAGCAACAAAACCTACTACTAAATATTTAGTGAGAATAATTTACTTTCATGTTCCTTAGGTAAGATTTTCTTTCAATTTTCTTCTCAGTTATTATCTTAATTACAATTCTAATCTGATTCTAATTTGATTATTCCTTTCATAGCTAAAATCTCTGTGATTAAATCTATTAATATACACGCACGGACACATTGATACGATTCGGGGATTTGATGATTGACTTATGATCCAAAACAATAACCAAAGAAGCAGATTTAACATTGACCTTAATTAACATTAATCAAGCAACTATTGGATCACATTATGCATGTCAAAATCTCACAATTAACCATTGGGAACAAGTGAACATTGTAATCATCAACAATTACCATGAGCAAAGTGATTCCAGTGAATTAAATATGACCAAATTACTACACATCCATTCATTAAAATGAGTGAAATCTTATCAATTGTCATCATCATCATCACAATAGACATTCAAGTATATTGAGTAACAATTAACAAAATTCAGTTGTCAGGAGCCTTCAAATTGACAGGGTGTTAATTGTAAATCACCGTGTTGATTAAATTTCATGCTGATTTAACTTTTCCAATTTTGATGTTAACACTATTCATTTCATTGCTTTATAATCACAATTAACAATTTTTTTTTTCAATAAGCAATATGTAAATACCACTAACTGATTGCTAAGCAAAATTAATGTATCGCACTAATCAAATTAGCTATTATATTGTTAAATTATCTCTCACTTTAATTACCAACAGATAATTAAATTTACTCTTGTTGTTTGAATCTAATTGTTGAACACACAAAAATCTATCTTCTCTGTTAATTTATCAAAATGGATCAAAATTCAATTCATTGAGTTACAATAATTGAACCACAAACAATTGATCATCTAATTGTAGTCCAACAATTTATAATTTATCACAATCAATTGTTAACTCTAATGATTAACTCTTATACTCAGTCAACAGAATGTAATTTGTTTCAATTAACATTTCCATTGAAAAAGATTATATACTAATCATGATTATTACAAATCTTTTCATTTTCCACTAAAGTTAGCCATTAATTAATGTTAATTGTGATCAACAAATTTCATCATTTTCCAGTAAAAATCTGAGAATTAATTTCGATAAGTTTTCTTTTCCATCCACCAGATGGCGCCACTAACGAAGATTTGTTAACATGTGTAAACATTGAGAGAGATTTTTTCATTCATTGTTTTTGTTGTGATTAAATTTTCTTGCTCTAGTTAATTGTGTTGGTTGATCAATTAATGTTGAAATGTTTTCCCGTCTCGGTAAAAAGGTAACCGAGTTTATCAACTTGTGTTACAATCAATATAAAACTAGTCTAATTGAAATTAAAGATGGTCTAATTGGTAGTCCGGTTAAATCGGGATTCCAATTATCAACATTAACTGGTTTCATTTATTTAATTAACAATAATCCTAGTGAACAAAGTTACCTTGATCAATTGGTAACTGCTCGTAATGATTTATTGATTGTTGGTGATAATATTCGTAATCCATCATCAGCTCAATTTGTCTCATTTCTTAATCAATGTCAAGGTGAACGGACACTTAGGAGACTTGATTTAGGAGTGATTAGTTTATTATTACGAATGGATCTTAATCCTGATTGTGCTGTTTATATTAATCAATGTGATTTCCTTAAGCCAACTTACGTTGAACAATTAACTGAAAGACTGGTTGATATTGGAATCGCCGGAAGATGGAGGATATTGGATAGAAAAATGATTGATTATGATGTTAATCCAGATGAATGGAGTTGATTTAATTTTCATTTTCCATTGTAATTTAGTTAACATAATATATCTGTAGATTAATTATTTCCTCTTGTTTCTTGTTTTTTCTTAATTATATCATCATTGCCATAAGAAGAAACAAACCAAGATCAACAAGTAAAAACATTCAATCAAAGTGATGATTTAAAATTGTCTAAAACAACTACAAATTAAAGTGTAATAATTGTTGATTCAATCAATATTAGAATTACAATTTTAAATTGTGTCTATCCTTTGGTAAATCTCAAAGGTAAACTTTACAATTTATTTATAACGTTAAAATATTCAACCAGCCAAAAGAGGAAAAGAAGAGTTTAAATTGTTTTTGATTCTTGTTGTTGGATAAGGAAAGGGACAGAGAGAGAAAAACAATAATATAATATATTAATTGTTTAAATAAATCTCTACAATTAGATGATTCAGTTTAGATTAACGGGATTTGATATTCGTTTATGTTGAAGAGGAGTAAACGGAGTTGTACCTCTAATATAAGGTTCGTAACATTGAACATAAACATCAGCGGTAAGTTCATCTAATGGGATCTCTGAATCGGTTTTAGCTAATTTATTGGCATCATCGACTTCCTTTTTAATTGCTAAATCAATTTCTTTTAATTCCTCACTGGTAACAAGATCAGCGTTCAAAATTTTATCCTTAAACGAGGTGATTGGATCTCTTTGTGTTCTAACCTCTTGAATTTCCTCACGAGTACGATAACTTGTTCCAGGATCGGACATACTGTGACCATGATAACGATAAGTTGTCGCTTCAACGACAAACGGACCTTTACCTTGTCTACAAGCTTCGGCAAGGAATCGGGTCGCCTCTCGAACGGCTAAAACATCCATACCATCAACCCATAAACCGGGAACATAATCTCCACGGGAAAAGTATTCAGTTGATGCTGCAGCTCGATCAGCTGATGTTCCCATACCATAACCATTATTTTCACAGATAAAAATGCAAGGTAAATTCCAGAGTTTGGCCATATTGTAGGCCTCGAATACTTGGCCTTGGTTAGCAGCTCCATCACCATATAAGGTTAAACAGAGATTACCATTGTTTTTATATTTATGGGCGAAAGCAATACCAGCTCCTAATGGTACTTGAGCTCCAACAATACCATTACCACCAAAGAAATTAAAATTGTACATATGCATAGAACCTCCTTTACCTATTGTGGCGCAAGAAAAAAGAAACAAAGAATTAGATATGAGGTACTAGAGAGAGAGAGAGAGAGAGAAATATGCCAATAATGTTGAGTGTTACCTCGAGCACAACCAGATTTACGACCGGTCAATTCTGTAAGAATAGCACTTGGTGCTACACCACGAACAAGAGTCCAACCATGGGCTCGATAAGCAGTGATCACTGAATCCTCTTTAAGAATGGCATTTTCCATTCCAACGGCAACAGCTTCTTGACCAGAATATAAATGACAGAAACCTCTAATGGCTTTCTCTTTGTATAAAGTATTTGCAGCGGCTTCCATACGACGGATAAACATCATCTGCTTATATAAACTCAAAGCATCATCTCGAGTAACTGTAACCTCTGTACTTGGACCTTCATCCATTTTATGCAATTTGTAAGGTTTTGTTTGGAAAGAGGCTTCATTGGATAACAATCGAATACACATTTGAAAATTAGCCTACAAAACACAAAGAAAAACAAAACAAAAAGGAATAAATTAAAAACCAAATGTAATCAAAATAGAAAACAAAATCAAAGGTTAAATTGTTGAAAGAAAAACAATTCAACTTACCGAGGAAAGAGATCGACTAAGAAAATTGCTCGAAATATTTAACATGGTTACTTCTTGTTAAGTTAAACTTAAACTCAATGAACAACAGAAAACAATTTAAATTAAAAAAAAAAGGTTAACAATTAGTTAATTAAAAAACAATTACAATTGATCAGCAACCGAGTTCAGCTGATTCGACCGACCTTGAAAAAGACAAAACTGTTAGTAGTAAAAGTGAAAAACAGATGGCAGGAAAATCGCCAAACGAAAAGCGGTTAATTTAAACTTGTCATTTCTTTGGAAAAAAAAGTTTCCTCAAGAAATTAAATTACGAAAAAGATGAAAGAAAAAAGTTCAATTAATTAATCATAAAACTAAACAATTAAAATCAAATGAAGAATCTAAATTGATTGGATGGGGGAGATGAATGAGATTAATTAAAATGTATTATTATTGTAACAATTAATGAAAATGATTCAATCATATGAACAAATCAAACAATCAAGAAAAAAAAGTTTCATTTTGATTGATTAAAAGTTAATTGTTATTAAATCATGAGTTTTGATTTTAATTGTAAGAAAATTTATCAATTTAGTTGTAAAAGTCACGTTTGTTTTGTTTATCAGGTGAAAATAATGAAGAAAAATTAACAATCATTGATGATACAAAGTTAATTGTTGTGTTAAATCAATTGATCAACCTGATTATCTATGGTAATCAAATGAAAATTTAATGACAAGTTAATCATTTGGAAAGTGGTTAACAACAATTTAAAATGAATGATTAACCATTTACAAAAAGGTTTTACCGTTTGAAGAAAATTAAATCTCAATCTAAACAATTTAATTTACTGAGAGTGTAACAATTTAATGATTATTTAAAGCAAGAAAAAAGCAAAACAAACATCAACAATTAACAATCATCTTAAGTGTGATAATAGATGTTAATTATAATAGATTGAGTTAATAATTAAGTGGAAGGGATAAAATTGTTCAATTACAAGGTAACACGTCAGCACATCATGAAGAATCATGTTAATTGTACAGTTAATTGTTTGTAAGTGCACAAAATGATTAAGGAAAATTTTTTTCTTCTTCTCAATTCTAATCAAAAGTAATTCTGACAATTTACTCCTCGTAACAAAAAAAAAATGATTAATTGTTTCTCATTCAAACTTATAAATACAATATTCATTATCCTGATTGATGAGGATCAACTGTTAGTTGAAGATAATGATTAAGATGATGATGAGAAATCATGAATTACCTTAATTGTTGAATAATAATATCAGAATCTGAATTACCTTTTTGTCCCACCTTGATTTCCACCCCACCTCCCACCATCCACCATGAACTTTTGTCATTTCAATTGGACACACAATTAACTTAATCATTATCATGATTAACAACAATACACTAGTCAAAAAATAAAGTTAAACATTAATTTTCTCATATCATTAACAATTAAACTACAAATTACCAATGATTAAACATTAATTACTCCAAACACTAATAATGATTAAGTGTCACTCCAACCATGACAATAATAATGATGATAATAATAATAATAGTTACACCTCTTAATTTAATGAATACAGGTCTATGTAATTGTAATTAATTAAACCAATTGAAATAGGAAAAAAAAACTTTTACACTTCATGCTAATCATGATCAATTTTAACATAATCAATCACTTAATTTACAGCAACAACAACAACAATCAAACCAATCATCAAATTAACAAAAATCAACTGTTTTCAAATCATTGGAATTATGTTCAATAATAAACCCACACACATACATACACAATCAAAATAGTGTTAATTGCTTGCAAATTGTAAGTTAATTCACTATTTTTGCTCAACAATTTAACTTGTAAACAATTGAAAACAAAATAATCAACAGATAAAAGTTAATTAGAAATGAGGAAAAATTAAAATCAAGGTAATTTTTCACTGTAGTTTTTGCCTCTTGACACATTGAAATAGATTGAACTTTTTTCAAGGTAATCATACAAAGGACTTGAAGCTTAACCAGAACCAGAAACCCAAATGATTTATCATGAAAACGTGAAGTGAGAGAGAGAGAGAGACCTGAAAGTCACCTTTAAATAATGATCATCATGATAATGATGATAAAATCAACAAATTAGATTCTGTTGTTGTTGTTTGATTGCAAATCGTTACAACGGTTACAAAGTTTCAAAAACTTTTCTTTGCATCATTTGATTCATGTAACAATTAAAAGAATAGCAAAATAGTGATTTGAGTTGATTGTTACAAATTGCTAATTGTTTATCTCTCTCTCAATACAATAGCAACAATCAAGGGGTAACAATTTAATTCCAATAATTGATATTAACGTGCCAAAGAAACATTTCTCATTCTGGTAACAATTAATGTTCACCTTCAATTTACATCTTCATTTACAGTCTTAATTGTTAAAGCCAATTGATTTGTCAAAACTAATGATTATTGCAATTTAATGGGTTGAATAGATTGAGAGAAATCAGTTAATTGTAAGGGTAACAATTAGTCAAATTATTATATTTTTTACACTACAAATGTATTAAGACTCTGATTGTTATCAAATTGTTTATCATTATCATATTTATTATAACCCTTGAAATCAATTTAGTGATTAGTTAATCGAGTTAATTATTGAAGGTGAGTAATTTTCTTATATTTGATTGTTAAATTGTCTGTTTAAAATTAATAGATTGTTATTACTTTTAATTGCATTTGATTAATTTTGACGGAAAAAATTTTCCAAAAAGTTAACTCAATCCTCTGATTAGTGTAGGTTGAAATTGGAAATTGATTATTAACTGATTTCAACATGAAAATTAATGATTATTATTAATGATTAAAAGGTGATCAAGTTAATTAAAAAGAGAGAGAGAGAAAGAAAAAAATTGCAATCAAAAGATGAGAAGACAAATTCTCAATTCTAAATGAATAATGTTCATTATGACAGAGAAATTTTTGTTCCAATAGTAAGTATCATCTCTCATCATCATCATCATCATCATCTTTAAATTGTTACCTGTAAGTTAAATGATTAAATTAAGCGTGAAAATGAGAGTATGATTAAGTATAAATGATTAATTTCATAAACAATTTAAAAAAAATCAACATAATCAAGGTTATTACATGACCATCAGGGGGTCATCATGGGTTAGGGTCAAATCTACAAAAATGATTAACCAATTGAGACAAGAAATGAAAACAATCAAATGTTTACAAAGTTACAGGTAAGTTTATCATCTTTGATAGTGATGATGATGATGATCATCATCACAGGTAATGTTTTAACCTGAAATGATGATGAAGATGATGAAGATTAGGATGATTAACGTTGAGAAATTAAGTAAGTAAATGAAATCAATGTGAATACATGTCAATATTTATCTTGATCATTTTTGAAGTTTCTCATTTCATCTTGTTAGCATCATTATCAAGATGACGATGATGATGATGATGATCAGAATTGATTCAGAAGCCACACCTTTAAAATTAACAATTTTAACTAATCAAAAGTAAGTTGAAAAATAAAATCAACTGACAAGACACATAATCAATTTTAACCAAATTGTTATCAACAGTTGATTTCTTGATTACATATTAATGTATTAAATTGAAATAGTACTAATCTTATGTGTACTTATTTGATTTACCTGTTGGCTCATCATCAACTTATCCCCTCCCTCTTATCATCATCATCATGCTGAGTTTCCCATGGAGTTTATTTTATCCTAATCCCTCCTTTCATATCCTGGGTGTTTTAAGTCACACTTTGAGCATCATCCCCAACAGAGGTCAGTTAATAGTAGTAGTAGTTAGTGGTCAGTAACTTTTGAAAAGGTAAAAAATTTTGATACTCTAACTTACCTTTAGTTTTTGTTGTTGCTGTTGTTGCTGTTTTGGTTACTACTATTAGTGAATGTGTATCTCTCGGAGTGAGATTGATTACCTAGAATCGTATCACCGGTGGGATTGGTCAACAGAATCAGATGACAAGAAACGATGAGGAGGAATTTTCTCTCTCTCTCTCTCTCTCTCTCTCTCTCTTCAAGGTGTGAATCTTTCAGCTCATTATTTCATGTTCCATTGCGTAAAAGAGGAGGAGAAAGTAAGAAAAGGTATCATGAAGGAGGAAGAGGAGGAGGTCAAGGTGGTAATTAGAAAGTAGAATGTCCAGTTGATACTTTTTTCTTCTTCTCTCCCAAAGTGTTTACTTTTCATCTTTCTCACTTAACAAAAAGATGAGAGAAAGAGATAGAGAGACTGAGGACGAATTAAATTTAATTCGTTTCTTTTTTACCTTCAAATTAATTGGATTTAGCACTTATTTTGAATCTCTCTCTGTTGGAGTCTATCGCCTTTATCATCTTATTCCCATCTTTTATCTCTCTCTCTCTCTCTCTCTCTCTCTCTCTCTCTCTCTCAAATATCAACATTTTCGCTTTATTTAAGTTAACACCATTAAAGATTAATACAAATACACTTAAATGATTGGATTAATTTACTTTGATTAAAAAGGTAGGTAATGATAAATACCATTTAATTTGATTTCTATGTTGTGATTAGAGATCTTTAATTATAAACCTTCAATTGCATTTCAACACAATCAAAGCTCAATTACTTTGAGATCATCTTGATAATCAGAGAAATGCAATTAAACCTCAATAATTGACTAACTTTAATTGTTGATTGATGGTTATCAGTGTTGATAAAAAAAGAGAGTTTAATCAAGAGAAATGGACATTAGATAAATAATTAGAATATTAATTTCGTTTCTATCGATGATCTTTAAGTCACAAAAAAAGATCGAAGGAGGAAAATATTAAACTCGAACCTGTAATTGGTACCGAAAGTATGAAAAGTCAATCGAAGGTCAAAAAGTGACATTTGCCTCTTTCATTGAGCTTGACAAACTCAACAATTACTTTTGATTGTGAGTGTGTATGGTTACACTTATTGTGTCTTGATTATGATTATGATTAACTTATTCACTCCCATTCGGTTACAAGGGGAGTGATAAGTCAATAGTCACTTTTTTTATTCTATTTTTTGTTATTCTATTATTTTCTAGCATCGTTTTCTTTCCTGTGGTTTTTTGGATTCACTTTTGAGGCCATTTTATTGTGACATCGACCAACAAACAACAACAAATAACAAGAAACATCAACAACAACACGAACCCACAATCACCACACT